GCGACCAGCTTGTGAGGGCAACACCACTGGTAAGGCCCAAAATCCGTTTTCCAAAAACCTATTTTTTTAAATTTCCAAGACTCCATATAAAAATAAAATAAAATAAAAGAAAATAAAAACATTAATGGACGACACACCTAGTGTCACCCAGCCTGTGAGGGCGACACCACTGGTGTCGCCCAAATCTTTCATAACCTTGCTTCAGCAAAACGCTTCCTGATAATAATAATAAAAAAAACAAATTGGCGATTTTTTTTTTTTGGGTGACACCAGCCATGGCACCCAGACATGGGCGACACCACCAGTGCCACCTAGGCGACACCACTAGTGTTCCCAAAAACTCTTTCTCAAAAATTCCCCTACTCAATTTTGAGATCTTTCGGGTATTAAGTTTACTTTCATCATGTGTTGTTACGACCATTGTCAAACATTTTAATTAATTTTCAAAAATTTTCAAACGCTCCTCGATGGCATGAGCCTAAACTGCCAATCAATTTTCAAGAATAAAATAAAATAAAAAATAAAAAGAAAATGCTCCTCGGTGGTCGCCTAGTGTAAACTGGGTGACACGAGTGGCGTAGCCCAGACTTGGGTGACACAACTGGTGTTGCCCAACCCCTTTTGGCCCAAATTTGAAATTTCCCTAAGGCTTCAATTTCAATTTCTTGCCTCTTTGGAAGGTTTTTACCATATTTTTTGGGTGACCCTAAGCATGTCGCCCAAACTCGAATCCTCAAAAAAGGAAATTTTGGCTGGAGGATCTGTTGGTTATGGAAAGCTGTCCTTCCCAACAGATCTTTGGCCTTTATAAACCCTATTTCCTGACCATTCAAGGGACAGACTGCTAGCTGGGAGAAAGATTGAAACCCTAATATGAAAACCCTAACCCTAAGCTTGAGAAACCTTTTCAGGGCACAACAACCCTAGTTCTAAACCATCATTACAGCACAACAACCCTTTTCAATCAGAGATCTACTAGTTAACTTCTAAATCAGAGAGGCAAAGAGGCCGGTAGTTCTGATACAGGCGAGCCCTCGAAGGCTCGAGAGTCTCGAGCCATCCGGCACGGTTTGGTATTGCTTTCTTCCCCTTTCTTTCTTCTTCTTCTTATTATTTTGATTTTATTTTGATTGGTTTGCTTTAAAATCGTGTTTTTAATGCTTTGGATCATGCTGGCCCTGCCACATATATGAGAGTAGATCTGGTCGTTTCTGGGTAGATCTGGCCTCAAATTTGAATTTGATTTGTCCCACTTTCTCTACCAATTTGTTTTCATCAGTTTAAGGTGTCAAGATCTGAGAGATCTTTGTCGGAAGATCGGTCCGATTTTCATCGTAAACAATATCCCACGAACTCAACAACGATGAGGTAGGTGTTCAAGTCCACCTCTTCATCGCTTTAAAAATCCTATCATCGTTGGAAATAACTATCCGCACGTGGCACGCGGTGCCCACACGTGTACACGAGTCAAGCTATTCTTCTAGAAGGGGTCCATCGGGCTCGGGAATGATCAAGAAGTCATATGCCCTTGCCTAATATTAGTATCAATGATGTGTTCAATACATCTGGAATAAGGCATGATCATCAGTGCGAAATTGAAGAAAGTCATGATCAAGCCGAAGTTGAAGATACATCTAAAACTCACGAAGATGGTTTAGAAGAAGTGGACTACGTTGTGACCCAACCTGATCCCCCATTGCGCAGGTCTTTTAGTATCTCTCAAACTTCCTCTCGACTACAAGATTTTTACACTTACCATTCAGTTTCTTATCTTATTCAAAATCATATTTCCCATAAAAATATCTCTCTTGGCTATTTTTCTTTTTTGAATTCTATCTCTAATAATTGTAAGCCAACTAATTTTCAAGATGTCATTTTTCAAATTGTGTGAATGAAGGCCATGATGAAAGAGGAACTTTAACCACTTAATAAGAATCATACTTAGAATATTTTCAATTTACCTAAAGAGAAGTAACTAGTTGGATGCATATGGGTTTTTAAAATTAAACATAATAGTGATAAGTATGTTGAGAGACATAAGGACATGTTGGTGGCCAAAGGATTTACCCAAACTTATGGAGCAGGTTATATAGCGGTTTTTGTACCAGTTGCCAAGATGAATAGTGTTCGTATTCTTTTATCTCTAGAAATTAATTGTGGGTGGTTTTTGTATCAGATAGATGTTAAAAATGCCTTCTTACATGGTGACCTTGAAGAAGAAGTCTATATGAGTCTTCTTCCTATATGCCATTTTAAAGAAAAGGATAAAGGGCTTCTTTACAAATTAAAGAAGGATTTGTATAGACTTCAATAATCACCTCGCGTATGGTATGACAAACTTAGCTTAGCCTTGACAAGTATCGAGTTTCATAGAAGTTCAGTTGATTCTTCGATGTTCATAAAAAGAGGAACTTCAAGTACAACAGTTGTACTCATTTATGTTGACGATATTATCATTACAGGTAATGATAAAGAAAGGATCATGAAGCCTAAAAGTTATCTTCACAAAAAAGTTGACATCAAGGATCTTAGTCAATGAAAGTATTTTCTCGGCATTGAAGTAGCACATTAAAAAAACAAACTCTTCATTTCTCAAAATGAAATATGTATTAGATTTTTTGAAAGTAACTGGGAAACTGAGAGTCGAACCCATTGACATTCCTATTGATATTAATTGCAAGCTTAATTTGAAAAATGGAAAACCTCTTGAAGATGTGGTCTGCTTTTATAGACTTGTGGGTAGATTTATTTATTTGATTGTGATATGACCAGATATAATGTATGTGGTTAGTCTTGTGAGCCAACTTATGCATGCTCCTAGATCATGTTATATGGAGGTGATAGGATTCTCATATATCTTAAATCATCACCCGATAGAGTCGTTTGGTTGAAACCGAATGGTTACACTAATATTATTGGTTATTCTGATGATGACAAAGCAGGTAGTCCAATTGACAGGAGGTCCACTACCAGTTATTGTACATTGGTCAGAAGAAACTTAATTACTTGGAAAAGCAAATAAAAAAAATATAGTTGTTCGATCCAGTGCAGAGGCCGACTATAGAGTTATGGCTTCAACTACAAGTGAATTGATGTGGCTAAAATATCTACTTTGAGATATGGGGTTCCCAACAGTCAATTCAATGGAGATGTTATGTGATAATCAAGCAGCTTTGCATATAGCCTACAATCCAATTTTTCATGAAAGAATTAAGCACATAGAAATTGATCGTCACTTTGTGAGAGAAAATGTTTAGTAAAATATTATCATTACTCTTTATGTTCAAAGTGAAGACCAACTTACAGACATGTTTACAAAAGTTATGGCAAAGACAAAATTCCATCAGTTACTGTCCACGTTGAGCTCTATTGATATCTACGCACCAACTTGAAGAGGAGTATTGAAAGTTATAGAAACCAAATATATCTTGTATATTACAAGATATTAAGTTTCTTATATTGAGTTTCCTATTTTATGGGATTAAAGTTGTAGTGAGATTTATTTCGTAAAAGATAAGAATTATAACTCTATAAATCTCTGATAAACCAGAGTAATCCCTATTAATAAAATATAATTTACCTTTTATAAATATAGGTACCATTGCCGAACCACGTATGTGTTATATTTATCAGTTTTCCTTTTTTTCTACTCTCTATTTCTCATATTGCAACTTCAACACAAACTTTTGATACTTTATGGAATTATATCACACTCTCCCTATGCCACACACCCTATGCCACACACAACTGGGGGATTTATCACCTTCCCCAAGAAGACAAATGAAATATTGATGCCACATAGTACATTTGGGGAGGTAGCTCCGCCAAAAACCAATAAATAAATAGAAATGGGTCGTAAGTTAGCAACAAACGCACCAAAGACTATCATTTTTATGTCATGTAATCAACTCGTATCATACACAAGTAGCATCTTAAAATCCTATGATTTCCAATCCGGATCTGGATGAAAATCAGCGATTCTAGGATGGTACGAGTCCAAGCCTAAAAACGACACGCGCTGAATACATAGTACCCGTTGCCTCTTTGTCGTTTGCCGGAGGGACCAAATGAAATAGTGTGCTCTGTTTTGCGGGACGGATCACATGAACAATATGCTCCTGTAGGAGAATGAAACGTTTTCACCATATTAAGAGCCTCTCTCCTGTGCTTTGCACGCACAACCGACCAGCCAAAGTGCACCACTCAACCTGCTCAAACAAACAATGTCTGAAAAGGCCCCAAGCATGCGTCCCCATCACCAAGAAGGCGAGCTCCTCCCCGAATCCGAGGTACTACGAGGAGAGAGAGAGGGATTTTGAGAGAGAAGTTTCATAGGAGTGAGAGGGGGAGAGTCACTGCTGCTGCCTTCTTCTAAGCGAGAGGGCGATGACACTGGTGTATCAAAAGGTGTGGTGGACCCGCATTCAGCCTCCGGAGAAGCCTCCACTTCGTAAATAGGGTTCGATATACACACAAAGTCCTCCACCTTGCACGACCGCCCATCATCCACCGTGCACGCCCCTCTATCCTCCACTGCAGAGGATACCCTGCTGCTGTCTCCAGCGTCGGACGGAGGCCGGAGGAGCCCAATGAAGTGGAGATTGGATGGCAGAAGAGAGAGGGTAGGCGAGAGAGAGGACGGTGGGAAATTTCTCTCTCTAACTCCTTCGATTTCTCGCCCGTCTTCTTTGATGGTGAAGAGGAACCTGGGGCCGCCCAAAACCCCCTGCGCGTAAACACTGCCGGGGAAGAGCTTTGGCAATGAGGGGTGTTGGTGGTTGGGGGACGAGAGCGAAACAGAGATAGAATGGTGGTCTCTCTCTCTCTGTTGCTGCTGCTCCTCATTAGAGTTGGTTGTGGAGTGAGAAACGTTGACGCGGGTAAGCTTGAACTTGAGGACTAAGGCGTAATAGAGCTCAGCAACAAGGACGAGGAAGAGGACGACTAGGACCACGGTTAGAGCGATGGCCGCCGCGCCCAGCCCACCACCCATGCTTCGATCCACTGTTTAACTAAGGCTTCTGTTTTTTAGTGAGAGAGTCATGGGAGTGGGTATTTAGACCCAATTGTAGAAAGAGAAAAGGGTCTAAAGGTGTGAAGACAGAATATGGGTTTTAATGGTTAGGAAGAGAGAGAAATAGGTTTGATGGTGGGGGAAAGCGAGAGCAATGGGTTTTGATGAGAGACAGAGGTAATGGAAGGAAAGGGGAGCTCTGGGGATGGGGTTTCGTCTCGTGAGGAGGAGGAATGTGAATAATAAATGAATGAACAAGGGGGCGAGGGTTTTTGGCGTTTACTCTCTCTCTCTCTCTCTCTATGTTTTGGCGGGAAAGGGACCTTGGGGTCGGGGTCGAAAAGCGGATTATCTCAGCCGTTGGTTTGAGGTGGAGCGTGCAGCGCTTTTCTATGTGATGCAGGACTAACGGTTAAGTCAAATGAAGAAAAACGACTATGTAATTAACCCGAAAACTCGTATGCTCAAGCCGGAGCATCTTCAAGATTCGCTCAAGTAAAATATTAGCAGTTTTAGTAGGGTGGCAATGGACCCGATCGGGTAGACCTCACCGCGGGCTTCGGTACGGGTCCAACGTTTGGGTTCAAAATTTGGACCCAAACACAATTTTAGTATGGGTTTGGGTCCAACTGAGCCTACCCGATCCCTACTCCATCTAAAACTATAAATTGTTGCTGATAAAATATTTCATTTTAAGTCCTATCTGTTTAATGTATTAAGAATTGTATATCATAAGAACTCGTAGACATCTTTAACTATTAAATAATAAATCAGACAGCTTGAAATCTAATAGCGGGTGATGGTGACCTTGTTTGTCAATAGCATGGGTCCATGTTTGTTAAAAACAGGGCAAGAAAATAAAAAAAGAAGCTTATCAAAAGTGTGGTAATGGGCCCGACCAGACCTGGGTCCTGACGGGTAGACTGAAGATCTGATGAGTACAAGTATGGGTCCAACTTTTGGATGCAGAAAGTCGGGTCTGGGTCTGTGTCCAGCTAGACCCGACACGTTGCCACTCCTAAATTCTAGCATTTAAAAACCGGGCTACAGTACTCGGTCCAAATCGACCGGTGGACTTGGCCAGATGGAAATGAAATATCAAACAAATAACAAGAACAGAGAAAAAAAATGTACAAAAATGTAAAAGCAGTTATTCATAATAAAATTATATTTTATTTAACCAAAAAAGAGGCATAAAATAAAATCCCTATAAAAAATTGTAACAAAAACTCAATTTTTTAATAACAGGCTGAAAAAGAGGAGGAGAAAACAAAAAATGGAAATTTGGAGACCTTTATTATTTATTTAAAAAAATAGATAGGGCTTTTGTAGTTCACTATAACAGAAACATGATTTTCTAGGGCTAGTATGGATCAAACAGCCCTGAGGGAGCAAACTAAACGTTTTCCTGAGGGAGTAGATATACATTGTGCTCTATTAGGAGCACAATATTTTGGCCCTTTCCCAAGCAAGAAAAATACGTAAATAAACAGGCCTTGCTTCCCCTTGGAAACAGTAAAAACATTAAAAAAATCAGAATACAAAAAGTAAGAAAGGGCCAAGCTTGCCTTTGGGAGAAAATTTAAAGGGTGTAGCCATGAGGGGCTACCAAATCCTAGAGATATCATTTCAGTGCATCACGCATCTTTTTTCCGCCCCTAATTGCGGATAATGATCACGTGGGTCAGCGTAATTTTCTTTCCTATTGGGCGCATCTGGACCGTCCATACACGAAGATGATGAAACAAAAATTGCACAAGGGATTGGGATTGGGATTGGGATTGGGATTGGGATAGGGATTGAGATTGGGCTTTGGACAATTTCACCATTGGACGGTACAAACTCTAAAATGTGACCATGACGAGCAACGAGTATTGTGATTTTGTGGGTGCATTTGATAATTTTTTCTGCTGTTTTCTTAACGTTCTCTATGTTACTGACTTTATATAATAAAGAGGTAAAATAGGAAAGGGTAATTTTTCTAAATATAGCTATTTAACATTTTGCCTACGTGTTTTGAAAGTCTTGAACTGCTTTCAAAATCTCCATCAAAATACACATTATTTTAATCTTCAAAATAGGATAAAATTTGTTTATACTTTCAGAATGCCCATCAAAACATACATGATTTTGACTTAGACTAGTAGAAAAAGTGTAAAATATTAAATTGTTGAAATTTAAGTTGTATTTTAGATCAATTTCCCTAAAAAAAATTTGGTAGAGTATATCTAGAAATTAGAATCTCTAATTAAACCAGGAAAATTGACGAGGGGACAAGTTTGTTCTTCTTTGTCCATGGAAACTTATCAAATCACAGGGATATGCACCGTGAACACTTCACCGTTTCCCTTTGCTGGACTTAAGAGAAACTCCACAAAGCATGTATCAAGAAAGAGGGTCATGATGATAGCATCACTTGTCTCCTAACTAAAGTCTACGTTTCCATTCTTATCTAACGTATTAAAAAATCACTAACGATTTCAAAACGGGTAGGGACTCGTCATCCCACTGAATTACCCAAAAAATAAATAAAAAGAAAGGGGTTGGGTCGTGGTGGTAGCACCCCCATGCCTAGTTATTACGTTGTAGTTTCCAATCCTGCTGACACCACTACAATCTTGCTGACACCACCACCGACTGACACTTTCAAAAACTCTAACTCCCTAATCTATATTAAAAAAAGGGTAGGTACCTATCTTCCCTACTGAATTGCCCAAAGAAAGAAAAAAAAAAAAACAAAAGTTTGGAATTGTGAGAGGATGATTTATTAATTTTGGCCATCTATCAAAACTAAGGGTGGCAATGGGTCAAGTTTGGAATTGTGAGAGGATGATTTATTAATTTTGGCCATCTATCAAAACTAAGGGTGGCAATGGGTCGGGTCCAGCTGGACATGAACCCAGACCCGAATGTATTCGGGTCCAATTTTTTGACCTAGGTCTGACCCGTTGAGTCCAAAAGTTGGACCCATACCCATACCCATCGGGTCTATCCTGTCAGGTCTTGCGTCTGGTTGGGTCCATTGCCGCACTCACTATGAGCGTCATTTTTTGCAGCCTACAATGGTAAACAGATAACTGAGTTTTGAGAGAGGAAGAATTGCAGAGAGGGAGGATGGCGATGGGGTTTGGCCGTTTGGGGAATTAAGGGAAAACGAAAAGGATAGAAACAATTTTGGGGTTGGGGTTTCGGGATTAAAAATTCGGGTACGGGTACCTGCTGGGTCGCGTATGGAACGACCCATACCTGGACCCGGGACTATCCGAGTATCATTTATTGGATCCGGACCCTACCTGCAAGTCCAAAACTTGGACCCATACCTGGACCCATGTCCGGTGTACTCGGCAGCTATGTTGAGTCCGGGTCCATTGCCACCCTTAATTAAAACCAAGTTTAGACACCCTTTTAAAATTTTGGCTAAGTGTATTCTTCAAAACTTGTAACTTTGTACCCGATCCACTTTCCTAGATTTAATACCTAAACTTTAAACGTATTAATATCCAAACTAGTTAAGACTAATCCAAATACCAATCCGACAATTAGAAACTTGGAAACTAACATGCTAAATTTCCAGTCTTTTAAAGCACTTATAACACACTCAATTTAAACCAAACTTGATTGCAAATTGTAGAGGGAGGTGCAAGTTTTCCAACGGTCAAAGAATTGCTCAAATCCAACTAATGGTTTGAAAGTTATGGCTCGAACAAATTTCTTGGCATGAATTCTACTATAGTTCCTATTGCACGACTTAGACTGAATCGCACAACTTGGGCTACGACCCACCAACTGCGAGTTGCGTAAATTTTTGGGCTTGAAAATTATCCATAAAATCCCAAAGTCTTCTAGAAATTTCTAAAGGCTTCTGGAATATTCTAAGTCCGTTCCTAGATGCATTTTGACACCCTTATAATTCAAATGAATATTCTCTAGACATTGCTGAGAACCCAATTCAATATAAACCCCTCTGATCTCCAATATATGAAAATACCTAGAAGTTCTTAAAAAATCCTAAATTCTTAAGAAATTAAAAAAAATTCCCTAGAAAATTAGAAAAAAAATCTTTAAAAAAATAAAAATATCCCAAAAAAATCCTAAAACTTTTTCTTAAAAATTAAAACTTAAAATATTGATAAATTCCTAAAACAAGCCCAAAAAATATCCTAATGCTAAAGAAAATCCTAGATCTAAGAAAACCTTGAAAAACCTAAGGATAGAAGCCCTAAACCAAAATCCCTTCAAAAAATTCTCTAGAAATCTCCAAAAAAATAAGAAAAACCCTAGGAACAAGATCACCTAGATCCAAATATATTTAAAGCTAAATTTTCAGGAAAGAATGTACAAACGTGTAAAGAACCCGCAAACCTAATATGTCCCCCAACTTTAGGTTCCTCAGGTAACTATCTACTATGTTCTTTATTTAATTATTTAAAATGTAATGTTTCTTAGTTTAATTCATTGATGTGGCTTTTAATAAGCATCGATCTGACTATAAATCTCTTATGTCCTATTAAACCTGGTGGTTAACAGCACCATGTCTCTCTCAAAATTGGTGAGTCATCCTGAAAATCCACCTTTCCTGTGAAAAGTAGAGTTCCAGCTTGTTTTTTTGTGACACCCGGCAAATTATTGACCCATTTTGGATTTTTCTTGTGAATAAATTGTTGATCCTTGTCTATAGAATATCTCCTATGCAAATCGATTTCAACATAAATATGTCAAAAGTGGACCATGTTGGGCTCAACCAATTAGAGCCCTCTTGCACGAATGCAGATATGCGCTATGGAAACAAGATATATGCGATACAAAAATATGCCAAAGTCATTGTGTGTATGTATGACTGGAAAAACATGGAATAAAACAAATAAATAAATAAATCTTACTGACACCGAATTTACGTGGTTCACCGTTTCAAGCTATGTCTACGGAAGAAAGACAAGAATCCACTATTGACTCCAAGGTTATAATAGTCTTCCAAGAAACCAACTTTTTTTGGATCATCGATTTCATCTAAAGGCTTCTCTGTCTTGGATTTCCCTCTTTGAGGTTCTCTCTCTCAAAGACTTTTTTTCTTTCTAAAGGTTTTCTCTCTCCAAAAGAAAAGGTTCTATCTTTCTCGCCTTTTTCTTCCTTTATCTCTCTTTTCTCTCTACAAAGAAAATGCATAAGAAGATGATCACTTACTCTCTTTCATCATCTTCTTCTCTCTAAGAAG